TATAAGCTTTATCAAAAAGGAACGTCTTAAGTCTAATCTTAAAGGTAGAGAAGGTGTCCGCCTCGCGAACTGAGACTGGGAGTTGGTTCCATAGGAGAGGAGCTTGATAGCTAAAGGCTCTGCCTCCCATTCTGCTTCTGTGGACTCTAGGAACCACAAGTAAACCTGCACTCTGAGAGCGAAGTGCTCTGTTAGGATGATAAGGCTCTATGAGGTCTTTAAGATATGATGGAGCCTTGTCATTAAGGGCTTTGTATGTTAGGAGAAGGATTTTAAATTCTATTCTGGATTTTACAGGGAGCCAGTATGCCTGTACTTATTGTCATTTACTGTCATAAATATATAAAAATACTGTATATGCTAAATGACAATTGTTTAAGGCAAAATAAAATAAGGAATTTGGCAAGGGTGCCAAAAAAGAACTTATTTGACATTGACTAGCATAAATATAAAAAAATATATAGAATGTAAAGACAACTGTGAAATGCACTCTTGCTAAACAGGATTTTATCCTAAGTCCTGTCTCCCACGCTGATCAGCGGAAATTAACAGAAATGACATTCTATAGTAGGCTGTTGCTTACGCCTTCATCTACACATTATTCATCATTCCATTCATGCAGCTGTATTTACATTGAGATATTCTTAGATGCTTTGAAAGGGGTGGCTGTGGCTCAGGGGGGCAGAGTGGTTGTCTCTAAATTGGAAGGTTGGTGGTTCTCTCCCCAGTCCACATGCTGAAGTGTCCTTGGGCAAGACACTGAACCCTGTTTGCCCCTGGTGGCCAGGCAGCGACTAACAGTACCGCCACCAATAAGGCGTTTCCCAACAGGGATTACAACAGTATAATATATGTTATGGTTTTTATATTGCATGCAGGTTATTTTTTTCCCATTGGATGTTATATGATACATTTTTTTCAAAATACCAACAATACTGAGTAGAAGCACCAGGTGCAAGAACATGGAATGGTAAACATAGTACTGTAAATTGCAAATGATACAATTTATTCCCATGTTCATAATACATACAGTATATGTGTAGATATATATAATTTGGGGGTGTAATTGATCTTGTGCTATGCATAATAGGTGGTGTTTGTCTGTCCTGACCAACAGGGGTGTGGCCAAGGCATTGACATGGGCCCACTTTGGCCAGGGTTTTGGCCCCATCTTGCTGGATGGAGTTCAGTGTACAGGCAATGAACTCTCTCTGGCGGAGTGTCCTCATAATAACTGGGAGCAACACAACTGTGACCACATGGAAGATGCTGGGGTGTCCTGCAACCCATACACAGGTCAGAGCCAGCAAAGGAAACACATACAGTACTAACTCACTTATTTATAATAAATGACACTGCTGTCATTACTGACCCTTGGTTAAACCAATATGATGCCAAAGACGTTAGGATATAAATAGCAAACGTTCTACTCTGGTTATGTAAGCAAGACTCCTCTAATAACAGGCATCAGGGCTGGCACATTTAAAACACATGTAAAGGATAAAGTAAACCCCTAGTTCTATGAAATAATAAACAGTAAATGATTACAAATCAAACTGTTTATTTTGTGTAAACATGAGACACAGTGCTTTCGGCTAACTTTGGCTGCTCTCCTTATTTACTCTCAGCCGGCGACATGGCTGCAGCACAGTGGTGAATCATGCCAAGTACTCCACAACAGCAAAATTGCAGAATTGAATGCAAATATCATGCTGCATGCATGAAAAACAATCCAACTAATTGGACCAATATCAGTTACAAAGTACCACAAAAATGTTAGTTGTATCTAAGGCAGCAATTTGTCATTGCTTTTCATTTTTCTTACATTAATTGACAAACATCAGATTTTGACTCTAGCAGGGGTGGCCAATCAGATTCTGGGCTCTGCCAGTGGTTATTTGGATGTTCAGTTCACATCTTCCTGTCAGTTAATTGAGCAGTCCACCACTATGAAATATCAGAAACCGCAAAAATAACAACCTTGAAATGGATTGTCAAAACATTTTGTACAAACATTTACCATAGAGGCCCTAAAAATGAATCCTACACAATTAATTTGACTTGTCTTGTAGGACCACCACAGTTTTAACTTGTTGTATCTTCAAGGGGCATGATGAGGTTAAACATGTTCAATGCTGGTTTTTCAGCAGAATTAACAATGTTCCCATTAGCCTCAGTTGTACCTTGTTTAGTGATAATTAGCAAAGGTTAACAAGCCTATATGCTAAACTAAATTGGCAAACACATGTCACTAGCACAACTGTAGACCCTGTTGGTCAGAACCTTTGCACTCCCTGAGCATGCAGTCTAATAATTAGTGTCTCCCTGTGTGGCTGCAGATGGTGCAGTCCGACTGGTGGGAGCGGATAGTCACTGGGAAGGTCGCCTGGAGATTTACCACCAGGGAGAATGGGGCACTGTGTGTGATGACAGCTGGACTGAGCTCAATGCCCAGGTAGTGTGTAGACAGCTGGGCTTCAGGTCAGTGCGTCAGTGTTGCTACACCTTTGTGCCTTTGGAGCTTGTGTATTAACCTGTTGCTTTATAACATTTGAAGCAGGAACAGTTACGGTATATACCATAAAGAATGATCTTACCAAGCACTAAACAAAAAAAGGAAAATAAGCTTTTTTAATCCAGTGGACAATATATCAAGAGTGTCCTGGATACTGGGCAAAAGATAGGGATGCTTAACCGTCCACTCATTCAGTGCCCAGTAATCCATGCATAACCTGGGGCTTTGGTCCTTCTTTCTCACCATTACTATTGGTGCAGCTCACCTACTGTTGCCAAATTGGGCCAGACGGGCCTCTAGGCTCTGTTGCTGATCTGCAGCTGGTTGTTGTTCCTTGCTATTCTACAGCGTGGCTCTGGGGTTATCAGGATATTGTGCTGCTTGAGGTTGGTGCAGCTGAGCGTGTTCAGCTCCAAGTGACCGCACCACAGGGCCAGATGTTCAACTTCCTGTCTATACGCAGACTTGTCACTGACTCAGATGAGACTCAAGACCACTTTGTTGTCTGCAAACTTCAGGAGTTTATCAGAGGTGCAGTGGTTGGTGTAGAGGGAAAACAACAGTAGGGAGAGCACACATCCCTGGGGGCACCTGTGGTGAGAGTCCATATGCTGGATGTGGTTTTCCCCAGCCTCACCTACTACGGGCCACTAGTTGAAAGCCCTTTGGTCAGCAGATCTTGCAGTTATTTCCCCTGGCATCCTGCACATTGCCAGACTAGCAAATTGTAGCTTCACTGGTTCTCCGGCTCTTTGGTTCTTCCTGTGTAAACCAAGGTGAACCCCCTGCATGAGCTGTGTGACTGTTGTGACAGCCCTTTTGGATGCCTCGTACAACCCCAAATCAGAAAAAGTTGGGACAGTATGTAAAATCAAATTAAAACTGAAAATACTGATGTGTAAATCCTTTGTGTCCAGTGTTACACTGAAAACAACACAGCAGCACATTATTTGATGTGATACCTCATCAACTTTATTCTAAATAAACACTCACTTCAATCCTGATGTTGCAACATATTCCAGACAAAGTTGGGACAGCGAATCATTTCTCATGGTGTGAAGCTGCCGTTCCTTTTCACAACACTTAAAAGACGTTTAGGGACTGAGGACACCAAGTGATTCAATGTGTCAGGTGTCATTTAGTCCCATTATTTTTGCAAATAAGTCGTAAGTCTAATGTCATACAGGACACAGATTATTTACACATCACTACTTTCAGTTTTAATTTTGATTTTACAGACCGTCCCAACTTTTTCTGATTAGGGCTTGTACCAATGTGCTCTGTCATAGGCCAGTCTTTCTCCTCTAGCCACTTTTGTAGCTGTCTCACAGAGTGGGCTGGAGCTATGAGCTTTAGCTTGATAGGTTTTTCATGCTAGAACATACATGACATGAACAGTGACAGTCAGCTGAGGGCATAATGCATGGGCTTGAGCAACTGAGCTGCTTGAATAACGGCAATTATAAAGTTAATCGAGCTCAAAGAATTAATTAGATGGACCCTGGGCTGGACTCCATACCTCCGTCTGTCCCTTGTTGAATTATCCTGAATGAAAACCCAGTGAGACCGTTGATGTTTAGCCTAATGTGCTCTAGAATTGCTGATAACTGGTGACTAGCCTTAGAAGTCCAAACCAATGCAGCAATGATGAAAGGAAGAGGGAGACAGATATAAGTTAGCTTGAACAGGATCCAGCTGGTTAGAATGTAAAGATGCTGACATAAAACTTCTGTAAAACAAAAACATTTGATTTACTGAATTAAAATGAACAGACCTGACTCAAATTCACACTTGTTTATGCTATATTCTTATATACTAATGCACCAAAGAACATTCTTGTATGTATTGTAAATTATGGTGGAGGTATTCTGTGTGTTTTCAACCAACGTGCATAAAACTAAAAGTCAACAGTATGCATGAGGTTTTAAGTTCAGAGAAAATCGTATTTGGTTCCTTCAGATTCTGGAGACAGTAAAAATTGATTCAAACTGCATAGGCAATGTATAGGAAGTTATACTAGTTATGCTGTTACAACCTAAATAAATATTTAGCAAACATGGCTATTTACACATAAATGTTTGCCATTTGTATCAGGTTTTCTTGATGTTGTCCTTTACATCATTAAAAACTGTCCCTACAGAGACAGATGTTCTGTGGTCATGCCTGCAGGGGCCAAGTAGAGGTGCCTGCTGAGGTGGTGTATGAAGAAGGCCAGGGGCGGATCCTGCTGGATGAGGTGCAGTGTCAAGGAACAGAGGCCAGGTTACTAGCCTGCACCCACTCTGAGTGGGGCCGACATGACTGCTCCCACAGCGAAGATGTCAGTGTCCGCTGTGAGATGAGAAGTGATACCAACGGGATGCTGGACCTGCTGCCTCCTGGTGGCAAGTACACATGTTGGTGGCTACTGAAGAAGCATATAGTCATTACTCCTGCTTATGAGATCAGTGTGCATTTCCCTGGTAAAGGCCAACATACCACAGGAGCAAAACTAGCATCTGAAACTTTATGACCTGATTAATTATCAACATAACAGCACATTTTTCTAATAATGTTTGTTTGCAGGCCCTCTGGTGCGTTTGGCTGGTGGTGAGAGCAGGAAGGAGGGTAGAGTGGAGATCTTCATTAATGGCCAGTGGGGAACCGTGTGTGATGATGGCTGGAGTGATGTCAATGCAGCTGTAGTTTGCAAACAGCTGGGATTCACGTTAGTATGATTACCCCATCTCTTATGCCTAACAAAACTAGACAAAAGCTCATGGAATGTCCACAATGGAAAGGGTTTAGTTTCTTAGGAGCATTGTGCCCAGAACATTTCATGGAAATCTGTGCATAAGTACAGCCTCAAAAAGGCACTACCTTTGTTTGCAAGTGGGAACTTTTTCTTCATGGTGGCACTACACAAATAGTCAAAGGGCATTGAAATCATGTGGAAATGTTAGCTAACAGAATTGTTTGGGGGAAAACCATAAAAAAATGAAGAGGCCAAATGCTCAGTTTCACCTACAGTAGTTCTAGGGATCAATAATAATATCTTTATTTATATAGCACTTCAATGTAAAATGATACAGTAACATATTAGGTTAAGGGGTTGAAAGAGAGAGAGAGAGAGAGAGAGAGAGAGAGAGAGAGAGAGAGAGAGAGAGAGAGAGAGAGAATGAGGACTCGGTGCAAACTCAAGTGCTAGTGGGAAAGTGTCTTTATTGCTATATTTGTTCTAAAACATATGTAACCAGTGGGGTTACTGTATGTGCATACATTTGTTGGTTCCTGTGAGAGGATCTGGGGAAGTATGGGCGACATGCAATAGATGTGTGCACAGAATAGATCACCATACCCAACTGAAAGTGCGGATGATCAAAATGACATTTTATATTGTAAGCATATATGAAGAACATGGTTCAAGGTGCCTCCAGCAGATCCACGCCACATGACCTCCCCTCCAGACAAAGACCCAGAAGGATACCAGACCACACACATATAGGGGAAGGAAACCAGTGTTAAGGTTGCTCGGACACGTGAATGAGCGAGCAAAAAAAGGCGGACCCAGGTAGCTGGCTTCGGTGCAAGTAGTGTCAGATTTATTTACAGTGCAAGCCACAATTACATAAACAGATAGGTGTGGAGTGATGAAGAGTTAACCAGGTGTTGATCTGCGGTGGTGGAAAACAGTCAATGGTGAGATGGATGGTTACAGACCGGGCTGCGGATGCTGGGGTCACTCCTGAATTGGTCATGGGTGAAGCGAAGATGTCTGAGGAGACAGGAGCATGTAATGACAGTTAATGGAGACTGTGCATCGACCTGTATGGTTCCAGGGTCCAGAGGAGAGGTCCGTAGTCACAGAGAGAAACAGCAGGAGAATGGACGAGAGCGTATATGCTTAGAGAAGAAGAGACCTAGGGTAAGCAGGAGCTATGAGTAAAACGTAAAGACTAAGAGAAACATAACTGGTAGACTGGAGAAAACAACGAGCAAAGGGGCCTGAGAATAGGGAGTGAACGGTGAGCAGGGTATAAATAGGGAGGAAACTAATAAAGTGCAGCTGGTGAGAATCAGTGTAAGTGGGGCAGGTGTGCTGGATAGTGTAATCAGGGTGAGGAAGCAAAACTAAAGTGAGAAAAGCAAGAGAGGAAGGTGCAGCCAGACATACCTGACAATCAGTGTGCGAATTATGGGTGTTAGCTTCCCCGATAGAGAACTGAGCTCTTCTAGAAGCAACAAAAATTTAAGTTTAGAGGTCACAAATAATCAGTAATCATTAGAAATGTTTTCAGTTGTAATCATAAAACTACTTACGTACATATGAATTTTTAAAATTCATTTTCTGACCCAGTACATTTTCTCCTCCCAGGACAGAAGAGTCACTGATTTAAGATTTAGTTGTATGATTAAGGTCTTAGCAGTACTTTCAGTGTTCAGAGAGTGTACGAGACTTTGAACGATGCCAAAATGGAGGCAACATTAATGGCCCAAAGAATCCTAATGATATATCACACACCCCTGAAGGTGATTGTAGCATTTCCACTCCCTAATGTGAACAGCCTAATAACAGCAGTGCAAACTGTGCAGCAGTCTGACTGACTTCACCTGCTATCAGTGAAGCCTATGACATGACTGATCGGAACATGTGCAGGGTTTTTTAATCATGAGTTGTGAGCTGCTTTCGAGTGTTATTCTGTGTGCCTGTGCGTAATTAGGCTACTGTGCGTGGGATCTTGTGTCAGACCGGCGATTCTCAACTAGCTGCTGAAGTGCAGCTCCTCAGCACATTTAGGTCGAGTAACCTCTCCCTCATCAACCCCACCCCATATAAACTTTCCGTGAAATGACAAATTAATTAGGGTATGAAACAAACAGGCCTACGTTTCTTAGTATTAGGAATGTGGGAATCTTGGATTAAATTTTTTATTAAAGTTTGTTAAGTCCTGTGCAGAGTATCAATGCCCCCCGAAAAAAGCACAGTGTAATTTGAACCCTGAATGAAATACTCAAACAATAGAGAAAGGGCAAAGGGAAATGAACAGGAAATTAACAAAGGGAGGGACAGTGGACAACAAGAGGGTTGGACTCCTGAAGGAAAAGTTCAAAATCTATTAATGTTTCCTAAATAAATAGATGAATAAATAAACTTAGAGCCAACTGGTCATGCAAACAAATTCAAAACACCAGAATGTGTTTTGCAGAAAAATATTGACTGAATGTAACTGAATTAAACTTGAGGTTTGCACAGTAGTGACAGTGGGCATTCAACAAAACAAAATGTGTACTGCAAATGTAAAAAGCAATACATATACACATTTACAGAACAATAACTAATGCTGGGTGTCTTTGTGTGCTGTTCTGTCAGTGGCACGGCTAAAGCTCGATCCATGGCATACTTTGGTGAGGGTCGAGGTCCCATCCACATGGACAATGTTCGATGCTTGGGTACCGAGACGTCTTTAGGCCAGTGTCCGGCTGAGGGCCAAGATGGACATGACTGTCACCACAGTGAGGATGCAGGTGCCATCTGTGATTACACCCTGGATTCTGTGGGAGATGGTGCCAAAACAATGCAGACCTGTGGTCTGAGACTCAATAACCAGCATCGTCGACGCAGGATCATAGGGGGAGATAAGTCCCTGAGGTTAGCACACATAACACTAATGCTTGAATGAAATGCATGTAAATTCACACACAAATGTCAGACCATATTCACTCACTGTCACTTTAAGCCCTGGTATAGCCGTGGAACACCAGCACATAGAGGATACACAGTATTTATACTGCTTCACGTACAAATCTGAATATTACAATAACTACCATTGGCTAAGATCACATTAAAGGCCTCAATGCTCAATTCTGATATTTTTTGTCATATCCAATATTTTTGTGTTGATGGTTCAAATTCATGTTTGTGACATATAGTTGGCTCTGGTGTGAACACCGAGGTTTAACTGCCACATAAATGTGAGCCAAGAATATGCAGATGACGCAACAGTCGGTCTCCTCCAAAGCAGTGATGAGTTGGCCTACAGACAGGAAGTTGAACATCTGGCTCTGTGTTGCAACCTGAACACGCTGAAAACAATGGAGATGACAGTGGACTTTAGAAGGAGCCCCCCCACCCTACACCGCCTCACTATACTCAGCAGCACTGTATCAACAGTGCCTCCGGACAGTGTTGCAGGTCACTGTGCGCTAAAACTACCAGGCCCAAGGCACAAGGACGGTTTCTTCTCCTGGGCCATCACTCTGAACAGTTAGTCTGCATTTATATCTATAACAAAGCACAGCAAACACCACAGTGCAATAACCTATAGACATCACTGTACATAAAATAGCTCACTTTTAACTTGTATATACTTAGAAATAGATGGTTGTTCGGCTTCTTGTTTACTTCAGTTTATTTGTTGCACATCAGGAGCCATTGAGCTGCACTCAACGTCTTGTAGTTTAACATACTTGGCAGTATCATTTTTGATTGAGAATATGTAACAGTGAAATTACACCATTTCCTCAAACACTGCTCAATTATAGGTTCCTTCCAGCATCACATGAACAGAAGCTTCCCTATAAATGTCCAACAAATTTGGAAGTTCCTCATCTCGGCACTGACCTCTTGCTGTTACTCATTCTCCATTGTCTGGTCTATGTGGTGATAACACTGACTGAAAGGGCGGCTGTTGCTTAGGAGGTAGAGCGGGTTGTTTCCTAACTGGAATATTTATGGTTCAGTTCCCGGCTTGTCCAGTCAACATATCGAAGTGTCCTTGAGCAGGACACTGAACTCCCAGTTGCTCCCGGTGATAACACCAGTATGAGTGTGAATGGCCAAGTAGGGTGAAAGTGTTTTGAGTGTGCTGAAAAGTGCTGTACAAGTATAAGACCATTTGATGACAGGTAATATGTACATGTACAGAGGAGTGAAACCACTTGAATTTTAGTCTGACCATTCTGATAGCAGTCACATAGTGAGAGTTCATACATGAATTGCATCTAGAATCTGCCAGAACTATCCACCATTAATAGGAGAACCCAATTAAAAGGCCAGTATTGTAGAATGCAAGTAAGAGTCTTTATTAAGATTAACAAATGAGCTGAGGGGTGAGCGCCTGGTAGTGGTGTTGCTCTGACAAGGCTCGGAGACAGTAGACACAGTCACCGTGGCAAGAAAAACAATTCCTCCTCCACAAGCAGAAGTCCTGGTGTAGTAGCAGAGAGAATCCAGAGAAGCAGAAACTGGGGCACACAGCATTAAGCAAGGCAAGACAGCAGAGAAGCCAAGAGTTCAGTCCAACAGGTTAGAATCAAGTTCACATTTCTTCAGGGGCTAGGCTGAGACATAGTTCAGATTCAGTTCCAAGGGTCTGGGGGGTACTCACAGTCTCACAGAGGCGTAGTCAAGGTACAAGCCAAAGGTCTAGTCTGGTTACAATAGCACAAGAGATTTCAGGTTTAGAAAGGCTGTAGGGTCAAACACAGTCAGGACAATCTGGCAGCTTCTCTGAGGGATGAAGCTGCTCATAAAAGGGCAAGTGCAGGTGTTGTCAATTGGCTCAGGTGAGGATGATTGGTGTAACGAAGGTAAAGTGACCAGGAGTGAGGGTAGGGTGGAACAGGAAGTGTCAGGTAAAAATAAGAGTCAGTTACCAGAAGTGGAGCTGGAGTTCATGACAGAATCATATATTCAAGCGGTCCAGTTCTGATATGAAAAAACAAATCAGATTTGGTTTCACACTTGTGTGAAAAAAAAATCAGATCTGAGTCACTGTTGCAAACCAAGTTCACCCCTTCATGGCAACAATATTTCCTGATGGCTGTGGCCTCTGTCAGCAGGATAATGCACCCTGACACACTGCAAAAATGGTTCAGGAATGGCAAGTACGGGTTCTGGTTAAGGTTAGGTTAAATCTCCAGTGGGGTACTGCACAAAACAGAATTAAGATAAAGACAAAGCGAGGCTTGACCTAGTCTACTAAGTGCACCATGGCTTGTTTCATGAAGGCAAAGGTCAAGCCAAGTAATTCGGATGAATGCTTGTTCATGGTTTTCTTCAACAGACCATGAGGTTGATCACAGATTCACTGATGCTGCATTAGAAGCTCCGTTTTATTTGGCCAGGCGGGCATGTGTCTGTGTTAAGTAGTGTCCTTAAAATGAACGGACTCCACACCCAACCGGTACAAACAGCATTGTGCTGGTCAGGCTTTTGAGCACACCCATCAAAGACACCTGTGTTTGATATTTCAGACCCACTGAGCGTGCCCACTCATGGATGCTTATGGGGAATTCAAGCTCATAATCTGTACAAATGGAATCACCCCAGCAGCCCCAGGATAACCTTTTGTATATGTGATTTTCAGGGGTGAGTGGCCCTGGCAGGTGTCTCTGTGGCTCAGGTTTCAGTCTAAAGGCAGCCATCCTCTGTGTGGAGCTTCACTCATCAACCCCTGCTGGATTGTGACTGCTGCCCACTGTTTCAAGAGGTAGGAAACAGTTCCCTCCTAGAGATGCAACAGTATGAAATCATCATTATAGTGACCAAAATTATCACAGTTACCAGTATTATCTACTGTCAAAATGTGTTGAAAATGTTCAGAAAGTACTTACACTAATGGAAATCATTCACTAATTTTTTTTAAAAAACACACCTATTAGCATTGCTGTGCATTGTGTGTGCATAAACATTAAAAAAAACAGCCAATAGCCATAGTCTTGTGTGTGGGGTACTGGGTTTGCCTGCTGCATACCCACTCTATAAACAAGAGAATAGCAAATTTATTATTATTGGTGAGATAATTAATGTCTCTTTCTCTCTATTATACACATGCTTATATTCAGGCTTCTCTCTGAGTACATAAAAACAAATGAGTTTTAAGAAGACAGTCAAATTATAAGGAGCCCAACATTTTTATCAAATACAGAGTGTTTAGTGTTCCTTCTGTTCAAGGAGTTTTTCCAACCAAGTCAATGGCTGTTGGATTTGAAATGAACAAAATATGTTGGATGACTACACTATGTAACATGTTATTGGTAGATTATAGTGCACTGGGCTAATGTTAAGAGACACACAATGCATACAGCAGCAAATCAATGTGGTGTTTTTACAAGACTAGGTAAGACTGAAAGCATGACAAGCTATTTGCCCCATTCTAAAGTCCTCACATCATTCAGTAAGCTAAAAGTTAAATCAGGGGTTAATTTGTGCCAGAACAAGCTGGATTCGGACCTGGCACTTCTCAAATTGTGACTGGCACCTATTTAGATGGACTTAGTGCCTCATTTACATATGAAACTAATTGAATATATGAATAATGCAACTCCAAATTAGACAAAGTTGGGACGGGATGTACAATCAAAATTTAAGTCACCTTAAGACTTGTTTGCAGGATGAATCGGACCTGGCACTTCTCAAATTGTGACTGGCACCTATTTAGATGGACTTAGTGCCTCATTTACATATGAAACTAATTGAATATATGAATAATGCAACTCCAAATTAGACAAAGTTGGGACGGGATGTACAATCAAAATTTAAGTCACCTTAAGACTTGTTTGCAGGATGAATGGGACAAAATGACACCTAACACATTTAATCACTTGGTGTCCTCTGTCCCTAAACATCTTTTAAGTGGGAAATGCTTTACTGTCCCAACTTTATTTGGAATGTGTTGCAGCATCAGAATTGAAGTGAGTGTTTATTGTCAGGATCGGCACATGAAGCTGCTGATAATAGCAAGGGTGAACTCAATTATAGAGCCAGACAAGGATAAGTGAAAAACTGTCTCTTTAATAAGAGCACAGACAACAAAACCATACCGAAAAGTACGTGAACACAAAACACACACTCGGGTCGAAAATACAGTCCAGGGTCAGAGCCAGCAAACTTACACAGCTGAGGAATCCACAAACGAGAGGTCAGAGAGGGAAGTCCGATAATCCATACATGGAAAGCAGTCCGAAGCAGGTGGGCAAGGCAGAACACAATGGTCAAAAAACAATCCGGGGTCAAAACAGGAAATACAGGTGGAGGGAAAGCTGCTTATATCCAGGTGAAAACAGGTGTAAACAATTGAGTGCTGATTAAAGTAAAAAGTCCGTAACTGAGATATGGCAAAACCAGGATGTTGTGTCAAAATAAAAGCATGGGAACGGAAGCCGACGGGACAGAATCCTGACAGTTATTTTGAACAAAGAATAAAACTAATGAGGTGTCACATCAAATAATGTGCTGCTGTACTGTTTTCAATGTAATGCAGAACACAGATGATTTACACATCATTGTTTTCATTTGGATTTTACATACCGTCCCAACTTTTTCTGATTTGGGGTTGTATGCACAAAGTCCAAAGTCTAATACTTTTGGCTGAACTAGCCTTTTACAATGGCATATTAGACTAAAATTTGATTAATTAAGTACAATAAAAACAGGCAATTAGACAAATTACATCACAATGTAACCAGCAAGCTCAGGTCACACTGGGTCAGTCCACACTTTGGACTTACTCCTCTTAGATGGATGAAAAATCTCCAGAGCACTGTCAGTCTGTCACTGCATTCCGCCATGTTTTCACTGACCCAAAGAAACCCACGCTGCATATTGCATGTGCACCTGAGAACCTCTAGCTAACTGTGGTGGATCCTGGACAATATTTAACCTTTCAGCAGGGAAGTTTTTCAAAGCTCAGTAATCATCTTGGTTTTAATGATATTTAATATTTGAAGCGGCAATACTAACCGTCAGAAATTTTACTGTGACACCATTTCATCCCTATTCCCTCCAAAAGTTGCTTGTTACCATTAGAAACATTTCACACCTCAAAAACAGGATTTGTCCCTCTCAGCAATGTTTGAATTGCTACATAACATGTTTTTGATTATCACCACATAATGGGCATCAAAATGGACACAAATGGGCCTTTATTAAAAACATCATTTTCTTTGTTTGCTTCTCCAGGTTTGGCAGAGACCCAACCCGCTATATGTTGCGCCTGGGTGACTACCACACTGAGGAGCAGGATGACTTTGAACGCACCTTGTCTCCTGAATGCATCATCATACATAAAAAGTACCATAGTCAGGGCTGGGAGTATGACATCGCCCTGCTGCGGCTCAAAGGCACAGAAGGCAGCTGTGTGGCATCCAACCCTCACACCGGTGCAGTATGTCTGCCAGAGTCAGGTAACAAGTGGGAGAAGAGACCTGCTTCCTGTGTGATCACTGGCTGGGGCATTACAGGTAACTTCACTGCCCAGACCAAATGACCGTAGAACTTCACTCTCCATCTATAGCACATGATGACACGCATTGTTAATGACTACAAGGCAACAATGTATATGTGGCTATTAAGCACAATTTCATTTGTCTGTCCAGTACAGACATACAGCAGGTCTTGTCAAGCCTGTCATCTATAAATTTTATTCACTGTATGTAGTAATTTGCAACAGCAACTCAAACCTAATTGGAAAGGGTAAGGTGATAGCAAATAAGGTGCTAGAAAAAAAGAGATTACAGTAAATAGAACGGAGTATAAGAGGGAACAGACAGAACTTGTCAACCTACACTTAAAATTACACTGATCTGAAGAATTTTGTGTGAGTGCATTTGACTTAATTCGAACAGTTTCATTGGTCCACTGTGACCTGTTCGGTAATTTCATTGGTCTGATGTGACGGCATGAAGCTCATTAGCCCGTAAAAATCCATAAATTAGCCGCATCATTGTTTAAGCTGCAGTGTTCAAAGCGTGTGAAAAAAGTAGCGGTTTATAGTCCAGAAAGTACGGTATATACAGTAGACTGAGGCCTGCTAGGTTATTTCTTGTAGCTGTTACAGCAGCATTTATAGAATACATTTGAACTTTAATACAACTATTTTGTTTTTGCTTATGCCATTTAATTTTTTTAAATGGACTTTGCTTTTTACACAATTAATGAATGCAGAGTTGATATAGAGCCGATCTTGAGTATATGGACTTGCCCTGTATCCTAACAATTGTAATATTTTTAGTATTTTTTGTGAGGGTCCTGTAAAAGATGATGATATGCTGCTTTGAATCCTTTTCGTTTTTCTTTCATTTGGATAGCTAGCTGTAGTTTTCGCTTTGAAATAGAGTATTTGTGATTTGCCAGTAACATTCTAAAATGTCGTGCATGCATCAAGGCCGGTGGAACCAGGATCATCACGTAGCCGCAATGTCATCGCTGTTGTCACACACAAGCAAGCGCTGACATTGATCGTCCAAATGTTATTGTCATTTGCGCTATAGACTGTTCACATCTTGCTGTGCTTTACTTTGATTTGTTTTTAAAATATCTTTTATTTTATATAATCATTATGAGGTGGGGATAAATTTTGTCAAAAATAAATCAGCAGGGGCAGGGATACATAGACAAGGGGGGGGAATGTCCCTCCGCCCCCCAGCAAATCACACAGTTCTCTAGAGTCAGGCCCACAACACACTTCATACAGGTACACAAACACAGATACTTCGAGCTATGCAAGATCAGTTTCACGCATTGTTGCCTGCTTGCATGTATCACCTGGAAATCCTAATGCAACACAAGCTGTAGTCTGAGCGTAACAACTAAGGGGCACTGTAGCATGAAACAACAAGACAAAGTGGAGCCCTTCTGTCTGGTTTAACAAAACAGCCATGGTTGACCAGTTTAACAAAGCTCTAGCTGAACATGTGTACATGTTTGTCACCTCTTCATTCAGACATTAATGCAGTTGAAAGAACTAAGGCCAAAATTTCAACTGCTTCAAACCATGCAATTAAAGTATGATGCCATGTTCACATTACTGTGGAATACAGCTTTTATGCGTGCCTCAAAATTGTTGTGCATGTGACATGCTGCACGGGTGTCCTTAATGCACAGTGTGGAGCAGGGGTATGCTCAAAGTTTAAATATGTTGAACTTTGACCCCAGTTGTGCTGGCCTTTGTGTGTGCAGCCAGTCAGCGTTGACAAATGCTTAAATTGTAGTTAACCTACTTGTGTTTATGAATTTCCCAAACTAAAATAACACATCATCATCATACTGATATCAGATAGAGACAGATGAACAATTTAAATAGTGAAATATCAGCACAAGTGCCACTACCAAGTCTGTTAAAAAACACATTAAGCCTCTAAAATGTAGTGATCTACTGCTGGCAACATTAGCACTGTGGCTAAGAAAGCATTGTTTTGTACAGCACCTCACTGAAACATTCTGAGCTTCAACTGGTAGATAGCGCCCCCTTCATCAGTCTGATAATTGTACATTGATGTTTACAGGGGACATACATTGAGCCAGGCACTGTCATTTGGCTGTGTGTACTTTTATGAAGTATGGTTTGTGCCTGAGTCAGAGGTTTTGATGTGCTGCACTAAAAAACTATTTTTTATTTGTACACACTTTTGTCTTTCTACATGTTAAACAAGCAAATGATAAGATGTAAAAACCAACCTTGTGTGTTTTTCTGTCTGTTTCATGCTGTCAGACTCAGAGTACTCCCGAACTCTGCTCCAGGCCTGGGTGCCCCTGCTTCCAGCCTGGAAGTGTAAGAAGCGATACGGTGATCGCTTCACCAGCCGCATGCTGTGCGCTGGAAGCCTGTCGGTGCGCCACCGTGTGGACAGTTGCCAAGGTGACAGTGGGGGTCCACTGGTCTGCCAGGGAGAGGGGGGACGTTGGGTGCTGACAGGGGTCATCTCATGGGGTCATGGCTGTGGTAATCCCTCATTCCCTGGGGTATACACGCGTGTTAGCAGGTTCCTGCGATGGATTGACAAGGTCATCAACAAACCCTACAAGAACTAAAGATGGGGAAAACACTTCCCAACACTGATTACCCAGTGTTACTACATGGCTTCAAGGCTTGTAGCAGGAGATGTTTATTGGTAGAATTAAGCATGCTGGCCATTGCTTCTGTGTTGTGCCACCTGACCACCTACACTGAGCTTTTCAGAACATTGGTTTCTTTTCCCACATCACTTCAGACAACATGTACATGACATTGTATGTACTTAATGCCAAATTTCCTTATAGTAAGGGACACTTGTGCTGTGCCCAGCTCTCATCCCTTGGCACAGAAAGTGAATGTCTTATAGATTTGACATTTGCCCAAACTGCTATATGCGCCTGTTTCTTGCATCTCTTCATCTAACCACGCTAATGGCTGCTTCCTCTTTTATTCCTCACTGACACCAGGGCCCGGTTTTTCAAAAGGTTTAATCCGGATAAAATTGATCCGGATTCAGTAATCCTTTTTTTTCGATCCGTGATCACGTAATCCAGCTTACTTCTTGAGCCAGTTTTTCAAAGCAACATCGGATTGGATCAATCTGATCTGGATAGGAACTTTTCAGGATCACCAAATCTGGATAACCAGTGCTCAAACAGGATAGGAAATCACAATGTAGAACTATAGATATGTAAAGAGCAACAAGTAGAATAGCCAGTGTGGGGTCAATATACGTTTATTATTATTTGAAATGAAAACACACACATTTAAAAGAAACTAAACACAAGAAAAACCCCACCCCATCCTCTTCCAGCAGTCCGCTCATCTGAGACCTACAACACAAACACTGTACATCGAGGATATTTATAACAAGTTTCAAATATAGATGTATTGAATTAAGAAAAGTGACCTAATGTCAAATACTCCACACTAATTTCAGACTTCCTCATCTGATGTGGAGAGACCAGCTTGTCTGAGCGTAGCCTTTAGGAGGCGGATCTCAAGTCTGGCCTTGGTTTGCTGCAGTTTGGTCAGAGTCAGTTGTTCCTCTGCCAGATGAAGCTGTGCTTCTGCCCTTTCAGTCTCTTTTTGCAGAAGTGCCTTGTAATCATCATCTTTGTTTGATGAAGGGCGCTTCAAGCCTTTGCTCTGAGATCCTGTGGCAACTACCACTGGCTCAACCAATGAGGATCCAGCTTCTTCCTCAGGAACAGAGCTGAGATTCAATATAAATACGCTCTCTGGATCAGCCTCAGGAGGAACTGGCAGATTCACCTCCTCCTCCTCAATCCAAGGCTCGCCATCCCCTACAACACCTTGAATACCATGAAGAGCTTGCGACTTCTCACCTCCAATGATGTCGAGGACCACATCTGTGTAATCCCCCCTCTTAAATGGCTTGTTGCCTGTTTGTGGGTTTTTGGCTTCAGCATGGTCCTTTGTTGCCCTGGCCTTAAGATTCTTCCACCGCAATTTGATTTGGTCTGTGGTCCTCCTCTGGCCAGACCCTATGGCATTCACATTGTCTGTGATTAAAATCCAAACATCATTTTTCTTTTTGTTGGTATCCTTAGCAGAAATAAAACTTCCCACTATTGTTCCATAATGGCACCGAACACCCTCTAGTAGTGCATTGGTTTCAGCAGCAGTGAAGTTACAGCTTCTTGAGTCCATGGTTCCGTTGCTTTACTATAGTGAACATTGTTCATCAATTATAGGCGTTGGGTCCAATTGCCTCAATTGAACACAAGCCACACCTACTCAGTTGTAATAGGTGTGTCCGAAAAGACCAACTACACCGCCATATAGATCAGCCTTTCTCAGAGGAGTCACAGAGAGACAGTGAAATGGCAGGTGTTGTCCACCGCCACCACCACTTTGCCAGGAGAGGATACCGTCAAAGGGTGTATGTTGAACGTACCAAGCCACTGGAGCAATACACCACTGAGGAGCTGTATGTCCGGTTTCGCTTTGGGAAGGCTGATATAGAGTACCTTGTGAACCTTCTCAGGCCGAAACTTCAACACAGAACCCAAAGGAGTCACGGTCTGTCTGTGGAAGAGCAGATCCTCATTGCTCTCCGATTTTATGCATGTGGGACTTTCTATCAGGTTGTTGGTGACTATATGGGAGTGGTGAAATCAGCTGTGTGTGATGTGGTGAGAGATGTGTCAATCGCACTGGCCAGCCTGGCCAATGAATTTGTTTCTTTTCCAAAGGACAACCAGATTGCCCAGGCCAAGCGCAGCTTTTTTCTTTTGGGGAATATGCCCAATACTATTGGAGCAATCGACTGCACACATGTGCATATACAAGCACCTCGTGAGAATGAATGGGAGTTTATAAACAGAAAGGGGAGGCACAGCATCAATGTCCAACTTGTGTGTGATGCTGACCTCATCATCACCAACTGCGTTGTCAAGTGGCCTGGGTCTGAACATGATGCACGCATCCTGAGGGGGAACGCTCTATATAGAGACCTCCAAACCAACCGACCGGATGGCATAATATTAGGAGACAGTGCCTACCCACTCCTACCATGGCTGATGACTTCGTTTCTAACAGCAAATACACTGGCGCAGGCACGCTTCAACACTGCTCATTGCAGAGCAAGATGTGCAATTGAGCGTTTAAATGGAGTTCTTAAGAGGCGCTTTGCATGCCTTAACTACCTGAGAGCGGAACCACAGAAAGCATGCAACATAACCCTTGCCTGTATTGTCCTGCACAACATTGCTACTAAGCGCAATGTCCCTCTCTGTGCTGACAATGATGCACCTGAGCCCCTTGGAGACCCTAACCAACCTCCTGCATTCTGCCAGAACGAGCAAACAGGACGTGCAACAAGGGACGCAATAGTTAGACACTATTTCTGATTTGGAATTGTTTTGGACTTCAAAAAGCAGTGATTGCCATTCTTTGCATTTTAGGGGTTATTCTGTAATCATTGCATGCATCACTAATAAATATTCTAAGAACAAAATTAGTTCGATTGTGATGAATATATATATATCAATTAGTGACAGAATACAATTTATTGTTTTCTGTCAATTTTGACAGCTGTTTGGGGGATTATTGTATGAGGCCGAACTCTGTCTACTTTGCTGTAGGCCTATACTGAAAGGCTGAATACGTTAAAGCCTACCTAATCACTGTAGCCTTACGGATGAACAAATAAAATTAAAACCTTATGAATAAATAGGATATCTTGTATGATACTGCATGATCCAAATATAGTATTATTTGATACATTTTTAAGGTTTTCATAACATTTTGGGCATGGAATCCACGCTGAATCCACCCTTCTGATGGGATCAGTTTAATCCAGATTTTCTGGATCAAAGTGATCCAAATCCTACAAAAAAGTTCTGAAAAACCCTAAATGAAGGTTTGATCCGGATCAAAACCAAGATTGGATTACATGATCTAATCCGATTATGTAATCCGTTTCTTCTTTTGAAAAACCCCCGGGCCCAGGGTATTTAAAATTGATCTGACAACAACAACAAAAAACACCAAAAATGTCCTTATCTTGCAGCATAAAAAAAGTTTATTAGGCATGTATGTTGAACATATGGTTGTACTCCTACACAGTACTAGCCCTCCAGCCTACGGAAACCTATGAACCCCATGAAGACCTCTAAAAATGGCACAGTTTAATATTTCTACACTAAGCTAATTGAGTGACGTTGCATTAAAAAATTCAATTGTTACAAGTATACTGAGTCGCCTTTTCTTCAAGCAGGCCACAGCCAGTGAAAGAATGACAACAACAGAAAAAAGCAATTACAAATGAAATTATCTAGTACAGCCAAGTAATTTTGTTTGTAAGTACATTTGAAAGCAAAGCTGACCAAAGTGCTGTACAAGACTAAGAAAAAATTGAGATGCACCAATTGCAATTTTTTTGGCCGATTCCAAGTCTGACCTGCCCATTCTGATTTTCTTTCTTTCTAAAAACTGTAATTGACAGCATAGACGAACATTTCTGTAACTTTATTTAATGAAAATTTTAACTGTAATAAAAATAAAACATCATATTACCTTTTACACTTTGCTGCTTTCTCTAACTCTTTTTAACAGACTTCTAACTAAAATGTAGTGCATGTTCATACTTCTCTGAATGTAAAAAGGTAACAGAAACAGAAGAAGGTTTGTTACATCAATCCCACTGAACATGCGGTTCTTTTAAAAGTGTGTGCAGTCTTCATTTGCTGTGTTTTAGGATGGGTTGGCTAATGGTAGACTACGTAGTGTAGGCTACATGCATTTCATGTGCAACCAGTAATTCCCTCACTTTGTACTATTTGTCAGAGTTTTGGACTGTAGTTTCCCCCTCTACAAGGTGTTTCTGTGAGATCCTTTGTGCACCTTTTGTACACCAAGCGCTTCTAATGTGTGAGTGAACATAGTGAACATGTGCCCAGTTTAGCCATGAATGGAAGCAGCATGTCTTTTTGTCTTCGTCTCAGTAAGCATCTGCTTTATCCTACATTTACATTTTTTCTGTTTCACCAAATTTCCTTTCTTGCATAGAAAGAAAAATCTTCTCAGAGCTGTTAATTCAGTTTAACTCCTGTTAGCTTGACACAGCATCCAACCATTACTAAAATGAATCCATACTTAATTTTTTCAACACATTTCACAGGTTTCCTTAGCATCTCTACATTCAGATTCTGCTATTACAAACACTGTACAGTACACAACTTTCATCTACAGTTTTGTGATGTTTAGAAAAAGTAATGAAAGCAGTGAGTGAAAGCAGCATGTCCTTCTGTCTCAACAACCATCTGCTTTATGAGCTGAAATGGTGACAACACTCACCCAGGTCCGGAGCTAACTCGTGACTGACTAACGCCACCTGCTGACATAAACAGGACTTCTGCAAGGCAGGAAAGGAAGATCTGACCCCTAGTATTGCATGGTTACAAATGAGGATTTTGAAAGCAAAATGCAACAAAATTGTTTATTTCACAGTCTTTTCTAATTGTGAACAGATACAGTAAGGAAACAAACATAGATACACAGCAAAGAGTAAATGGGGATATTTCAGCGAGAATTAAAAGCCAAGGAGATTTTTTAAAGTGGGGATTTAAAAGTCACCAGGGTTGGCACATTCCTAATGTTGAAGGGTGGAGGGCTCCGCAGTTTAGGAGCCGTTACCAGCACGCTACCCTCTGAGCTTCAGTCTAAGCCTTGGAACAATCAAAAGCAACCTGTCAGATGATCTAGTGGTACAGATGACATGTAAGAGGACTTCTAGGAGCAAGACTGACAAATTGAGCAGCTATGCGATTTGTAGTCAGTTTGTGTCTTTTTATGGTTGTTTGTGTCCTT